ATGTAAAACAACAACAACATGATGTAAGTCTGGCCACCAAAATGGAAATGTCAAAAAGGTAGAGGCTGTGAAAGAAAGAAGAAATTCCTAAATGCATTTTGGAAGAAGCTTTCAAGTGATCTCAAGGAGGTTAAAAGTAGCAATAGCAAGTACATTTCTATACCGCTTATCAGTGCATTTAAGCACTTCCTAAGTGATTTTACAATGTGTATGCTAACGCATTGTAGCAACCTATGGAAAGATGCCAGGCTGAGTTGACCCTGGAGCCCCTGGCTGGTATCGAACTCACAACCTTATGGTTTGTGAGTGAGTGGCTGCAGTGCAGGCATTTAACCACTGCGCCACCAGGGCTCCAGTTGGTAAAAATGATTGCTTACTTGACCTGTTCTTTTTTATGGTGTAAGAACCCATCCCTATTTTTCCATACTATTTCTGCCTCTAGTACCAAATTTTCTCTTAAAATAATGCCCAGGAACACGTCTGCTTTATTAACTGTGATACACCTGCAATGCTCTGTTATAATGTGTATTTAAAGCAATAAAAGCTAACCTCTGTAGAGGTTATCACCCTCAAACTCCACTCTCTTACAATCAGTTACAAGCAGTAACAGCAAAACATATTAATGTCAGGAGCTATTCAGAATTACTCCCTCTTTGCAGACACCATATGTTTAAATCTTGCAAGCCAGTGATAAATATTTTAATAGCTTTTTATGTCTAACGTTCATAAATTGAAGAGTCTAAGAGGTTACAATACAGAAGATCCACAAATGCATATCTTCTCTTCGTATGTCACTCCGCAAGGGCACAGACCCAAAATGTGGCTAAAAAATGAAATGTTTCAAGAAAGAAATAAAGCTACAAATTAAGAGGGGGAAAAAAGGCTTTATTATTATTTTACATACAATAAATCTAATTGATTTTTATTACACTTCTTTAGGAGCACTTTTACATTCCTAGACAAGAAAAATGATTATGGATACAAGTTGTAAAACCTATGGACAGAACAATTGGCATGTTTTTCTTTATGTACAGACCAAAAATAATGTAGGCAGTCAAGGTATACCCAAAGTGCTGAGAAATCTCACTGAAAACTGTTATGCCCATTTTGTTTATTCCAATAGATCAGGCCCCTGCGAGAGCACTGCTGAAACAAGGGGGGGGGGCAATAATATCAGATTGCCTTGCCCAGGACCCACACCCAAGGACTGGGCTGCTGCTATGATAGCTGGACAGATTAAATGCACTCAATACAGCAGCCTCTAGAGACGAGCCACCAAGTCATAGCCCAAAAGTTTCTGAACACCCACAGAGCTGGCCAGAATCATACAAGCATGGGATTTTTACTCTCCCATTAGCTTTTCTTCTAGTTTGCCTGCGGGATTATTTATCGGTGAAAGAACAACATTTTGAGATGTGTGACTTCTTTTTGAAGCCTGAGCTAAAAAGTTGAATACTATAGGCAGGGCACACACATCTGCAGAGATTTTTGTAAAATGTTTTTTCCTGAATATTAGTGACGACATCTATTAAGGGATGACAGGTAAGTACTGGAAAGACTCTGTACAATGTCTCCT